TAAAATTAACTATTACTTAAATGTGAAAATAAGATATATATTATCAAGAAGTTATTACTATGTGAATTACGATACAAAATTAAATACTACTTAAAGGTCTCTGTAGTATTAAATGTGATGAAATAGTTAGCTATTATTGTTTGCATAAGTAATACCTAGATGAAATAAAATATGTACTCATAAAATCAAACAACAAGCAACCTAATTAATGTAATTAATATGTTTGGCTGAATTAATTTGTACATGAGAGAATATATTTTAGTAATATAAGTGTCTATATATTACCTAATACGACAAAACTTTTTATAGTAAGTAATTTTGAGACAAGATACATATAGGAGGAAAAAAATTAATGGTGTTGGACCAAATTAAAATGAAGGCATAATTTGTATAAAGATTAAAAGAGAATAGATGGATAAGAGGTAGTAAGGTAGAATCATGAACTTGCTTCCATATACATCATGTTACAAATAATTTATCTCTAAATACTCGATTGTGTACACACTATGTATTGGCTACATACTCTACTAGATATTAGCTTATGGCGACATGTTTTCAGCATTTAATAACCTGAAGTTACATACCTTCTATAACACATAAGAATGAGTTAAAATATTTGTTTAGCAAACGTTATATAAACAAGTGACACCAGACGTTACATGAATAATAATATATGATCGAGTTCTATGCAAGAATTAGGTAAAATTAAGTATTACCCAAATGAAAAGATAAAATACATATTATCGAGAAGTTAAGCAACGTCAAATGTAATGTTTAAACAACAGAAGTTATTTTTACGTGAATAACAGTGTACTGTTTGAGTGTTTTGGTAATATTAAATATGATTGAATAGTTAGGTATTATTAGTTAATGTCTTAAGTGATATGAAACATGTAGCCATAAAATCAAACAAGAAGCAACCTAATTAATGTAATCAATATGTTTGACTGTATTAATTTGTACGTGCGGTTTATACACTATCTAACATGGAAAAACACTCTTTGTGGTAAATAATATAGGAGGAAACGAAATAATAATGTTGGACCAGAGAAGAGATGGATAAGAATAGGTGTAGGTAGAATCGGGGAATTTACTAAAAAAGAGAGATTTAGATGGGTGGATTTGGCTTGCATAAAAAGGCGTTAACCCTCCCTAATTAACCATGTATTCTCCAATTTATTTGGGGTAACACCAACTAACTATTTTCTTAATAGAAAATTAATTATGTTTTAGTTACTAATTAATTGACAATCAAAAGATTTAGTGGGGGTGAAATGGAGGCAGTTATAACAACATTCCTTCTACCTTGTTACCCTTCACTACAAGTGTTTGGCACCCATTTCTCTTCACACCCTTCCCACGCGATACGCTCCCTTTTTTTTTAATTAATTAATTAAGGAGAAAATCACTAAACTAATTATGATAAATAATAAATTTTGTTAAGGAATTAATTATAATAATATATAATCATCCTATGCGGTATTCCGTTGTTTGTTCTTAATCAAGATTTAATCTGAGCCGTTGGATTTGTAAGTTTGGGACCACGTGGAGTGATCTTGTTGGGTGATGGGGAAGTGAGTTCATCCCAAAACAGAGAATCTGGTCCAAGACTCTGGTGCACAGCTTCAATTTAAGTGACGAACATCGAATGCAAAAAATGGGTAAAAGCTAAAAAGCTTCAGCTTTTCTCTCTCTCTCTCTCTCTCTCTCTCTCTCTCTCTCTCTCTCTCTCTCTCTCTCTCTCTTCCTTCTGCTTTTTTTTTTTTATATTTTTTCTGGTTCTTCAAAGATTCTTCCTTCCACCACCATTACACAATCATCTTTCTCTTTTCCTTTTTCGTGTTTCTAAATTTTTGTTTCTGATTTGTTTCGATTCTGTATAAAATATAATTTTGTTTCTTTCTACAGTTTTCTCGAAAATCCATCGTTTTCTTCGCGACATTTTGGTTTACGAACAGGAGAGATAGGGAGGGAAGGAGCTGGGGTTTTTCCACTCCTTTTTCTTTCTTTCTGTTTTTCATTCTCCATTGATTTCGAAGCCGGCAGAGAATCTGATCGGGTCGGGTTGCGTTTTTTGGAGGCGGGTCAGACCTTGTTGGTGCTGATCGTTGCCATGGTGGTGGTACTGGTGGTGGGTCTTCTTCATTAGCTTTTACTCTTTAATCAATCAGGTAATCATTTTTAATCATTCTCTCTCCATTTATTTTCTGTCTTTGGTTTTTTTTTTTTTTTAGCTTGTACGTTTGGTGTTTTTCTTTTGTTCTTTCTAAATTCCATGTTCTACGCTTTTTTCCTTCCCTGATAATTTAAGGTATCTCCCTCTGTTAATCTTAATATTTCAGCTCGATCTACGGTTTCTCTAAAATTCTTGAAATTTATCACCATTTTTCGTTTATTTTTTTCTCCGACCCTGGTCGTGAATTTTCTTTTTTCTTCTTCCTGTTTATTAGTGTTCAAATTAGATCTTCTTCCGTCTCTGATTTATAAAATTCATTGCTTTCCTTTCGATCGATTACCTCTTTTTTTTCCCCACCTTTGAGACTCTGGAAATTGGTTATTAGAGAATGTTTCCTGTCTCTGTAAATTCCCCAGTGTTTCTCAATCAATTGGCTTCTGTTGTGAGAATCAGCTAGAAAGGTTAAGAGCTGACGTAATTCCATTGATCATGGCGATAATTTTGGAATGGTGAATGCGTTTCTTTTACCATTCCATTGTTTTTGTCTTTTTATCAATACCTGTTTGAGATTCCTTAAGAAAAATGAAAACCCAGATTTAGACATTCCTTTATGGTTCTTTTTCCAATTTAGGGTTTCATTAATGAAAATAACGGCCCTCAAGTCAAGCTATTGTGGTTCTTTTAATCTTGAGTTGAAACTTGAAAGAAAATTTCACTTTCATTTTGGTATAATTTATTTTTCAATTCCAAAAATTAACTTCTATTCTGCACCAGAAACTAGGCGTATTGTTGCTTTTGATATCAGTGCCAGGCTTGGATTCAGTGGGCCTGAGATTCATTCTGTTACATGCTATGTTTGTTTTGGCCATTTCAGGAATTCAACCAACCTCATTTTCGGATAACCTGAATTGGATCGTGTTTAGATTTTCATGGCTGGGATTGAGGATAATATTGCCATAATTGGGGATTGGGTGCCTCCTAGTCCTAGCCCAAGAACCTTTTTCACTGCAATGTTGGGCGAGGATATGAGTTCAAAATTTATGTCAGAAGCTCTTCCAGATAACAAAACTGAAGGGCTTTTTCTAGGATCTCGAGAGCAGATGCGATCAGGTGAGACTCACAAAAAAAGTTTAAGGGAAATGGGTGATCAATCAGCTGAGCTAGGTTTAATCTCTGAACAAAAGTCAAGCTCGCGTGGAGGTCTTGGGGAAAGGATAGCAGCAAGAGCTGGGTTTAATGCTCCAAAATTAAACACTGAAAATATAAGATCTGCTGATCTTTCATCGAACCCTGATGTACGCTCTCCTTACTTGACAATACCAGCTGGTCTCAGCCCAACCACACTGCTAGATTCTCCAGTTTTCCTTTCAAATTCGCTGGTAAGCCTAATAATATGCTGTCTCTGACTTTTGATTTTAATGAACTGGACATGCTATTCATCGTATTGAAGGCATTGATAATCTGCCCATCAGTTCGAAAGAAGCTATCATGCTCATTTTGTTGAGTCCTTATTTGACCCTATGCAATGGAAGTAGGAATTTAGTTGGTCTGAAGGGAATCAAAAACAATATCATTGTCATGAATGGTCCCCTGTGGTTAGCATTGGGAAAGATTCTGCTTTACTGGAATATTAGAAAGTTAAATTGGATTGCTATTGTCATAAATCATTCTCTCGCAATTCAAAAGTTAAAACTAGAACTGACCCATTTGATTGGTGGAGGGAAGAGCTTTTAAGCTATTGAGGTTGGGTACCTTTTGCGCGCAAGTGCAAAGCATGACATTGTACTGAAAATGGAATGGGCTTAATTCTTTTGCTTCACTAACCATTCTGGGCTAAATTTGTCGCCTTTTCTGTGATTATTGCAATTGGCTTCTACAAATGAGTACCCAGAGTGACTCATTGATTTCTTTGTTCACGTAAAATTGTCTAATGCATCAGGGGATTGTTATATCAAAAATGAAATTAAGCTCTATTGAAGTTCTTTTTTTTTTTTCCGCATGTTAATTTCTGATCCGATCTTACTGCAGGCTCAGCCATCTCCAACAACTGGAAAATTTTCTTTTCTCCCAAATGGTAATGATAGAAGCTCCACATTGACCTCAGAGGTCCTGGATAAGAACAAAGATAATTTTTTTGAGGACATTGGTGCATCATCCTTTGCATTCAAGCCCATTGTGGAATCAAATCCCTCTTTCTTCCTGGGTGCTACAAACAGGGTAAGTAAACCATTAGAAGACCTAATTTTAAAATGTTGAGCTGCAAAAAAGCATATTACACGGACACATGCTTGTTGCTAGTCAATTTTGTTAAATTACATTTGAAGATATGATGTTGGAAGCCCTTTTTTCCATGCAACTGAGAATGTATGTTTTACATGCAGATTGTTCGAAATCCAGCCACTCTTCCTCAGCAATCGTTTCCTAGTATTGAGGTTTCAGTTCAGTCTGAAAATTCCCTTCAGTCCCAAAATGCGGAAGCAGCTAAAGTCCATTCTCAGAATAGAAATATCCTTCCCTTTCAGGCAGACTTTGCCAGATTATCAGCTGAGAAAGATCATGGCAGTAATACTGGTGCTGCAAATCATAGAGTCCCTGATGCTGTTGGTGGTGCTGCTGAACTTTCTCCGCCTCTTGATGACCAGCAGGATGACGACCAAAGAGGCAGTGGAGATTCCCTGGCTGGTGGTGGTGGTAGCGCGCCATCCGACGATGGGTATAATTGGAGAAAATATGGACAAAAACAAGTAAAAGGAAGTGAGTATCCCCGGAGTTATTACAAATGTACTCATCCAAATTGTCAAGTTAAGAAAAAGGTGGAACGATCTCATGAAGGCCACATTACAGAGATTATATACAAAGGAGCGCACAACCACCCAAAACCTCCACCAAATCGTCGATCTGCCATTGGTTCGTCTAATCCAGTCCTTGACATGCAAATAGATGGCCCTGAACAACCCGGACAACAGAACGGGATTGATGGGGATTCTATTTGGGCAAATACACAGAAGGGAACAGCTTCTGGAACCCCTGACTGGAGGCATGACAATGTTGAGGTGACATCATCAGCAACTCTGGGCCCTGAATATGGTAACCAGTCTGCAGCTTTGCATGCTCAGAATGGTGCTCAGCTTGAATCAGGTGATGCAATTGATGCTTCCTCAACCTTTTCTAATGATGAAGATGAAGAAGATCGTGCTACACATGGCAGTGTCTCATTAGGTTATGAAGGTGAAGGAGATGAATCCGAGTCGAAGAGAAGGTAGGTATTCTGCCTTTGTTCTCTTATGAATATAATGTTGAGACAAACTATTATGGCAGTAATAATCTGATACTGTTTAATATCCCAGGAAAATTGAAGCTTATGCGACAGAAATAAGTGGAGCCACCAGAGCTATTCGTGAGCCCAGAGTTGTGGTTCAGACTACCAGTGAGGTCGATATCCTTGATGATGGATATCGCTGGCGCAAGTATGGGCAGAAAGTTGTCAAAGGAAATCCAAATCCAAGGTTAGATAAGAACCCATTATTTGCTAGTCAGTCTTTTATTTTTCTTCCCTTTTCTGCCTCATACAAGCTTGCACAAACTAGAATTATGATGTAAGTTCCAAAAGTTGCCTAGTCTGAACTTGCTTCTATTTTGATGCACAGGAGTTATTACAAATGCACAAGTGCAGGCTGCACGGTGAGGAAACATGTAGAAAGGGCGTCACATGATCTCAAATCAGTGATCACCACATATGAGGGAAAGCACAATCATGATGTACCTGCTGCCCGTAATAGCAGTCACGTCAATTCTGGTAACTCTAGCAGCATAGCAGGCCAAGCTGCCTCGGCTATTCAGAGTCATATCCACAGGCCTGAGTCATCACAAGTTCACAACAGCATGGCAAGGTTTGAGAGGCCTGCTGCATTTGGTTCATTTACCCTGCCCGGAAGGCAGCAGTTGGGACATTCTCCCGGCTTCTCTTTTGGAATGAATCAAGCAGGGTTTACCAATCTAGCCATGGCCGGATTGGGCCCCGGACAAGCCAAGCTACCAGTCCTACCGGTTCATCCGTATTTAGCACAGCAACGACAGGTGAATGAGATGGGTTTTATGTTGCCAAAAGGAGAACCAAAGGTGGAGCCGATGTCAGAACCTGGTCTAAACCTTTCAAATAGTTCATCAGCATACCAACAGATAATCAGTAGGCTGCCGCTTGGACCACAGATGTAAATTTTTTTCTTTGTTTCTCTCTTTCTTTCTTTGAAATATCTTACCTGTTTCAGTTGGCACCAAATATTTTTTCTATTGTTGGGAAGAAAGTAGATATAATTTTATTATATTAAATCGTTATATATGTAAATGGGCATTTTATTCTCGCGCTCTGCCATTTTTGTTCCTTGATCTGATTAGGGTTTGACTTTGTCTCGAAAGAAAAGGAAAGAAATTTTGTCAGATAGTTATTGTTTTTGGTTGTCCAACAAAGCTTCTTCCAGGTAGTTTTCTGACCAGAAGACAAGACAAATTCTGTTCTTTCTAAGTTTAAAAGCTGTCTCAAATGGAACTGGCAGATAGAGTAGGCCTGGACCACCTTTTTTACTGGTTTAACTCTTCAATTGCACAAATACATATACATTTCATCTGTATTATGAATGGAACTCGTGACTAATTAATTCTAATTCAACAGACAAAATAAAATAAGAATTTTCTTTTTCAATGGAGCAGGTTACCTGTTTAACTTTTCTTTGCTTATTTCCTTTAAGAACTAACAAATGAGCACACAATTAAGAGGGCATAGATGTGCATACCAAATCTAAAGAGGCGACCAAATGAGAAAGAGACTTGATTCTTGTCTTAAAAAATCGAGAGATTCAAAAAAATGATCTCTTAATTTACATGCAACTATAAAATTATGTTTTATAACAAAAGTACCCTTCACACTAACATTTTTTTTTCAATCTTGGATTATAATTTGCTGCACAACTTGTTTGTACAACTTATCTATTATATAACATCATCCGGAAATATGCGACATTCGATTTAATTTGAAAATGAATTGTTACACACGTTATCACTGTACAACATAAATAAGAAGCATACAACTCAGGGATCCTTCTTAATCCTCTATACCAATTATGATGTATCTTTAGGGTGAAGATTTGTGGAAATGCAGCTCTTGTGATACACAATACGTGTTGTCTGTTGATGATAGCGTTCTATTCAGAAGAACGCAGTTGGAAGAGCTAAATGAAATAAAAAGGATACTTAAAGAAGCACGAGCAAGCCTCGGGACAAGTAGTAAATTTACATAAATCAGCTATTACAAAGTTGGAGGACAACCACTTTATCCCAAGAGGCCAAAGAAGTCATGTCGAAAACTTAGGCATAAACTACGGTGAATTACATTACGAGTATATTCCTCTTACTACAATCAATTTGTGTGCAATTGGAAAAAATGTGGCTCGATTTTGGTGGGGTGGTGGGTTGTCTGGTAAAAAATGTCTACTCCAAAAGCAGAAAGGAGGGGAGGGATTGGATTTTCGAAATTTTTATAGTTTTAATATCACCATGTCGGGCAAATAATCCAGAATCTCTCCTCCATCAATTATTAAGAGCAAGATATTTTAAACAGATAGATTTCATACAAGCACATGGTATAAGAATTCCACCAAATAAAATACTCCGGAAATGGTCTTCTGATGACAATTATACTGTGACTGAAAGAAAATATGGAATACTCCAGTGCTACCCAAACTGAAATTATGTGTATGCAAGAAAATTTTACCAACTGGAGCAAACCTTGATCCCGCTTGTGTTATGTGTGGTGAAGCTAAGGAGAGCATAGTGCATCCATTTCAGGAATGTGTATATGCAAAATCCATTTGCCAATTAAGTCCTCTGTGAGTAACACATAACATATCCTTCCTTTTTGACTTTTGGATATCGCATGATTCGAAATCCTCTCAGAACATTTGTTCGAGCATGTTTATGAATGGGTTCATAACAAGATACGTGTGAGACCATACTTGTTCAAAAACTCCAAAAGACTATGCGAAGTATGGTCAAAAACTCCAAAAGACTATGCGATAATGGGAACAAGTATTGTCAACCAAGAGGGTTAGTAGTATCAATAAAGATGCTGTTTATGGGATCCACAACATCAATTTGACGCCCCCACCGAGAGGATATGTGAGGATCAACACCGATACTTCCTTTGTGGCTGGCCAAGATTCTAAAGGCAGGGTGGTATTTGTGGGAATGGTACTCCTTTGCCGCTTTCGGTGAATGTGGCAGAGTTACTGGCTTTGAGGCATGGGATGGAATTGGCACAATCATGAGGCACCAATAAAGGGATTCCAACTTTGATATTAAAATTTGATAGATACAAATTAATTTTGGATGATCTTAAAACTTAAGTTCCTACTTTTCAATAAAGGGATTCCTAAATGTTGTAATCATATCACAAATGTCTTGGCTAGAGAGGCTTTATTGGCACTTAGATGGATGTTTGTGACTGCAGATCTACCTCCATTTCTGTTGCAGAATGGTTGCTGCAACTGTTGAATGAAGGATTATTTTTCTCCAAAAGAAAGTTTATGATGCATCCTCAGAGCTCACAACTACAAAAATATAAACTCCTCCAATATTTGACCAAAAGCAAATGATTGCCCTACTAAAAGGTAAATAAGGGCGGAAATTTACAAATCCTACCATATTGAAAATAATGTTGTACTGTGGTTCCTTTTTTCCTCTTTTAATTAAAAATGTAGAAAGTTCAATTTCCTAAAATTACAATGAGATATCCAACACCTGGAAATTTTATGCTAATACATATGCTTTTACCAACGAGCCATGCACGCCTGAATCTAATGAACACTGCAGACAAACCTCCAAGCACTTGCTTCAGCGGCTACTGCTTTCTGACACATATATAGATTTCAGGTTTTGAATCCTATATTTATCTTAGGAGTTTATTCATGACATGAGCCCCTCCTCCCTCCCTCCAAAAATTTAGACCAGCTTGCCTTTGTGGTCAATCAAGAAGGAAGACTTGGCAATTTCAATTTCCAGCTGCATAGCATAGCCAATGGCTGTTTTTAATACTGACCTTGGAATTCTTCTCTTTTCTATGATGATAGATTGATACTTTGAGTATTTGTCTCCTCTCTGCAGAAACTGTAAAACACCAATCAAAATATAAGAAAATCGCTTTCCATGTTCTTGTAGATAAAATAGGAAAAATGTATGATAAAAGAATGGGCAACAGTGATAGCCAAACCTAAAAATCATTCTTCTCCTGATTTTAGAGAAAAATGAAAGGAGAGTTTGAGAAGTGTCCAGAATTTCACATCATGGTAAATTACAGCTTCAGATGGATCTAATTATTTTTCTTTTTTTTTTTTCCTTTGTGCAGATAAAATAACTAATAGGCATTTAATCTAGTATCGGTTATAGAAATGGATAACTGATTTAACTTTCTTCTGCAACATAATGACTCACGTAGTAGCTATATTTAGATATTCATGTATTTTGTTTTTCATATGGGGACAAAATAAAAATTGATTCAAATAGCTGTGTAGTTATATAGATTTCTTAGATTGCAACGGAGAAACAGCCCCGACTGGCCCAATCGCAAATCCATTACAAATAGATGGGAAAATATCATCGCATTTACTTGTAACCATTTTGCAGTAGAAACCATGGCCAACAACCATGCTTCAATTTGCTAATAGTGGGGAAGAGGCATTCTTTTTTTCCTTCACAAGACTGTTTGCAATTTAAATAAGGAACTAGACGTTAACTAAGAGAAAGGGAAGAGTTACAATAGAACATCAGTAAGTACCTGAGACAATTCCAAATAGAATCATAGTGAAGAATTGCCACAATTCTCCGCTTCCTTCCTTTCTGCATTTTGCCACCATGCCTAACCACAGGTAACTGCTTGATTCCCCTGGCTTCCATTATCTCCTTTGCAACTGCCAAATTAGTGTCTGGATAACAGGTTAGGAGTCCACGCGCACGCCCACGGTAGCTAATCTTTTGAGTACAAACAAAGGAAACAGGACACATGTTCACCTGTAAAAATTTGAAATTTTTCTTAAAATTTCAGCAAAATGAGATCAACAGAAATACAGAGTGAAGATTCTCAACGAGGGTAAAGAAGACATATTGGAAGGTAAAGAACACATACTGAAAGCTTGTGAATGGCAAAAATTTTACAGAAAGAAAAAGAAAATGATGATGCAAGCATCTACATTACTTACATCTAAAGCCGCTGAACCACCCATGTCGACATTCTTTGACACATACCGTCTAATGTCACCGCATGTTAGTATTCCTGCCAGATAGTCATCATCATCAACCACAAGAACACAATTTTGTTGGCTATCACGCAAGCATTTCGTAGCTTCTTTCAAAGTTGCATTCAGTGAAACCTTTACATAATTGTTTGACATGGCACTGGAAACCTGAAAGCAAGCCAAGATGCACTAGTAGTCAGAAAGAAAACATCAAACAATGAATATGTAAAGAAAGTTAATAATTGAGAAGGTAAAGTACTGCCTAAACCTCTCCTCACAAAACACCACCTTCCCAAGTTCCCTTTTGGTTCAACTCCCATTCAATCTCTAAGTCCCAACTAATTCCCACGCTTATTTTTTCAAAACAGTCTTAAATGTTAGTTTAGTATTTTTCACATTTGACCAAGCCAACACCCACCTTAAATTTGTTAGGTTGTAGTTCTACATATCAATATTATTTTTAAAATTTTTGAAGTAGGATTTAGATAAAATGAAATAGAATTGGATGGAGTGGCCCATAAGAGTGTGTTTGAGAGTTGCAAAGAAATGGAAAACGCAAAGAAAAAATCTGGAGGGGATGGAAAAACAAGGATGACCGAAAATTTTCCCGCCTTTTGTTGGATGTCTTAAAAAATGGAAGAGACAATATAGTGATGTGAATAGAAAAGGACCAACCCTTTCATTTCCTTTCCCTTCATATATCTACTCCCAGATGAGGGATATCGGAATAATTTTCTATTTCCTCCCATCAAGAAAGAAAGAAAAATGTACTCAGTTATAGAGCAATGGAGAACATCTAAGACCTTCAAATCTTCCAAAAGCATTTCTTCATTTGTTGCTTCATGATCTACAGCATTTTCTATGACAGTGAGCTCTGAACCATCTACTCCATCAATTCGTCTCCACATGCCTTCATTTTTATCATCAGTGTGTGAAAGAGAATAACCACCTCTTCCTGAATTCCGTGCATCAGATGCCTCACTCTCCTTAACTTGGTTTGCCACAGAGGGAACCCATATTGCCAATCCAACAGCCCCCTAATAACAAAATTGCCACAAAAACTAAAAACAAGCATTAGAAAAAATGTTGACTTGGAAATGCTTTATTATGTTGTACCAAATAACAGTCACTAATATCTGATCAAGAAATAAATTTGAATAACTCTATTGGTACGAGTATGAATATTCTGAACCACGAAGTGCCCGTTTGCCTAAGCCTTTCCATTTCTGATTTTGCTGCCACAAAGCAGAAAAAACATTTTTTTAAGTAAAAGAAGAATTTGTCTTTTTTCCACTTTTTATGAAGGTCAAATCCAAACTGCAAATAGACGCTCTAAGATATGGCTTCTGCTGTAGAAGATGAATAATATTTTAAATAAATATATTTATTAACTTTATGTTTCACTAATTTATTAACTTAATATTTTTAAATTAACAGGTTTCTGGGGTTATCTAGTAATGTTAAGCTATGCCTCAACTATATGCCAAAAAAAAGATATCAGGTCAGTGAAACAAACTTCTGAGATATATAAAGTCTTCCAAAGAATAAATCTAGATAGACATTGTCTTTATTGATTATGTAACTTGCTGAACATGTATCAAAGAACAAACTTTGCGAAAAACACCCAAGATCATGAATGCATTTTTTTTAAGGCAACATATGCATTAAGATTTGATGGGGCAAGTCATAAAATAAGATTGTGGCAGAATTACCATAAGAGGAAGCAATATCCTATAATCTTTTGTCAGCTCAAACAGAAGCAAAACTGATGTCAACGGTACTGAACATACTGAAGCCAATGTAGCAGCCATTCCAACCTGCACTAGAAGTCAAAGGTACTTTGATTAAAATTATGTTTAAAACTTCAATATGAACAGTGATTACAAATGGCAAATAAGCAGGGCCTGTCAAAAGCTAAAGCTTTACCAGCGCATATGCCTGCGGCTGAGCAACAGCAGCATTTCCAGGAATTGCTGCATTGATAAATTCTGCAGCTGAACCCCCAAACACAGCACCAACTGCAGCACCAATCATTAAACTTGGGGCATAAAGTCCACCAACAAGGCCAGAGCCTTTGCACAGTGCAGTTGCTACAACCTTGGCTGCTGCTAATTGAGTTAACAACCATATTCCAGGAGCTGACGCACTCTTTCCAGTATGTAGAATCTCCTCCACATTTGTGAAACCCCAGTACAGTATTCCAGGATACTTTAAAGCAATTATCCCAGCTCCTAGACCACCAAGAGCCGGACAGACAATAGCAGGAAGACCAAATTTTTCCTTGATAAATTCAAATGACTTGGTGAACCAAGTGACTAAGCGAGTAAAGACTACACTCACTACACCACATAGCATGCCCAATATCAGGTATAAAGGCAGCTCTGCAAGAAACAGTGAAGAAACATTCAACAAGTTTAGTCACAAGATACTGAAATGAAACAGTTTATTTACGTTCTAAGTTTCTCTCAAGAGAGGATTAGACCAGTAAGAGCATAATTGCCCAATGTCTCAAAAAGCACCAAATATTCAACTCTCCCCCATCATAATAGATCGTACTCTTACCAAAATTATGATATATTGATCCAAACCAAACTAGAGATCCATGACCGGCTGTAGAAATAAATCCCAAGATTCACCGTGCAGATGTACATTTCTTACAAATTAAAATGTTCATAATGGAAAAGGAAGTACCTGCAGCAGACTTCAAATCATAAGAGGGAACTGTAAAAGCTGACTGTGTTCCGAGCAAGGCATTTGATACAGTAGATGAAATAACGGAGGCTAATATTATCATTGCAGTTGTAAATGGAGGTGAATTCTCAGCACGAAGAGGCCTTAACACAGTTTCAATAGCAAAAAAGCAACCAGCAACAGCAGCATTGAAACCTAAAGAGAGAAGAGAAAAAGGTTGAAAAGCGCAAATTCAGCTATCAAGTTTTCAGTAACAAGTATGTGATCTAATGCAAATATCTGTAATGTTCTGATAATAATACAGAGGTAAATTTCCTGCAAGCATAACACTAATCAAATGGTAGAAAATTTGATCTGGTAATTAAAAGACAAATTTTAAGTTTAAGAAATTAAATCGTCATAGCAGCAGAGGCCTAGCATTAATTCTTGTGTTTATCAGAAGCAGCCATGGCAAAATTTCATAAACACAATTCCTTGGAACAATATTCTTCATTCTCTTTTCTGAAACTTGAATGCCATAATTCACAGCTAAGGAATCAACAGGTTGCATCCAACATCCCCCTTAAGAAAAGTCAATTCCTAGCTTAGCTAATTTGCCAGTCAAGCATACCTCTTAACCAATAGACTCTAAGACTACTCTACTTATCGTACATATAGCAAGCTCAAGTCCATGTTCAAAAGTTAGTTTGTAGCATCAGCAGCCCTATACAAATTAAAGCAGAATACTGCAATAAAAGTAATGTGTTCCAAAATAAAAACATTCACAGCTGCCTCTATCAGCAAGCAAAACAGAAAGATATTGAATGATTTCCCAGGAGTAATAGGAAATAGAAACAAAAGACTGAATAAATTGTAGCAAGAGAAATGATGATACCTGATGCAATCCCAGATGCTGCACCGGCTGCGACAAGAGCTATCTTCCTTTCTCTATTGTTTTCCATCATCAATGAGAAGCCGTTGGCGCATGATTTGCCAATGTCCACGCTCGGGCCCTCAGGACCAAGAGAACATCCGGTTCCAAGAGTAACGGCAGCCTGGATAGCTTTTATTGTGGGGTAAACGCCAGCAAGCAAATCCAAACCTTGTCTTGAAGAGGAGGAAGAAGAAGAAATAGAATGCTTAATTTGATCCAAGATTTCGAGTAAACCATGCATCATTCCGACAATAACTCCTCCCGTGACAGGGATCAGGAGAATGCGATGCCAAGTATCAGCCAGTCTCTGTAACCGGAGCCAAGCAGCACCCTCGTTTGGGGTGCCAGCCCAGGCCCATTCATGTATAATATGAACCTACACAACCAAAACGAAGGTAAGACGACAGATTTGGGGGGAGATTTCTGTAAGAAAAGAAAAAAAAAAAAAAACGAAGAGAGATTCAGATCTCAACCAGTTTTTCTTTTTCAATTACCCCTATATTGAAAGCGGCGACGCAGAGGCCGGAGGCCACACCAAGGAGACAGCCGATGAGCAGCAAAGCCCATTCTGGAGGCGCACTATCACCAAGGACGTCGTTGTTAGCATCGGCGTGGGCGTAGGGGTGGTACGGATGACGATGATCCAGATTATCAACGGTAGCAGTATCGACTTTACTATTCCCAAAACCACTTAAACCTGTAGGAGTAGAGGGTGACGAAGGATGGTCTCTGTCAGGTCGCTTGAAACTGAAGCGTCGTCCAGAAAGAGAGAGGCCTCGATCCAAATTCTTGAAGAGGTCCTTGATGGCACCTGTTCCTCTAGAAAAGCTGCTTCTGTTGTGATGATGGTTGATGGAAGTTTGTGGAGCTTCGATGTCTATCTCTTCATCTTCCTCATCACCTGGTTCCGCGTTGTTGTGGTTGGATCTCAACAGATGCCGCTCATCGCTGCCTCCTCCCATCACTAATTTCTTGTTTATCACAAATCACACAATTCAAATCCAATTTGATCCGCGTACAATTCCATAAAATTTCAAACTCTTATTTCTCCACAATGTGCGCCAGATTGGCAGAAAAATCGACAGTAAAGGACACACCCTTGCTGTCCTCGTCTCTGTAACCAAAATCTAATTCGGTGTTTGGCTTTTAATGAATCTTTCCCTGTGCAATTCCCCACCGACGAATTAATATTCCCGCCAGCCAAACAACCGCCTTCTCCTCCTCCTCCTCCTCCGCCCTTCAATTACTATTTTTCTTATCTGCGCACACCTGATTTCCCGGTCGGGCAGTTGCAGTTTTTTTGCACTTAATATTTTCAGCCACACCCCCGTACTTTTAACTATTTACGCCACTAGGCTTTTCCAATATATAAGAAATGAATATTCTTTAATTTTTAAAAATAATTATCGACTGACTATGACATATTTAAGATATTCTAATTTAATTTTATAAAAATTTTATTTAATCGTGATACAAAAAAAAATTATATTAAGTTTATAATATTTTTAATGGTAAAAGAATTAGTGTATAAAAAATTTATCCTCTTGTAAAATTATGTAAAAGCATAATTTATATAATAAAAATACGATAATATAATATTTTTTCTTTGCTATTTTTAAAAAATTAAACTAAAATAAAATGAAATAGTGAGATGATAAATATTTTTATATTATTTATTTTCATTAAATAAATATAAAATCATTTTTCAGCCAAGTCACAAACTAATATACATTTTTACCCAATAATATAAATTGAAAAAAAAAACTAATAGCAATTTTTTTAAGAATCACAGGCAACAAATTATTATATCAAAGTTAATATTTAAATAAACATAAAATTATTGTAATTAATAACAAAATTTGAAAATTTTCTTGATATAATCAAGATTTGCTAATTTAAATTGAACAACCAGTAAATATAAAAATGGTAAAAATTTAATTATATTATGATAAATACATATGTTATAACTAATTTATTGATATATGAAATAACTTGAAGTTTAAAGATTAAATTATAATATAACATGCTTGAGTTAAATGATAGATTTAGTATTATTCTATTATGGTTATCAACTAAATAAATTTTTATCATAAAAAAATTCTTTTTTTATTAAAATTATAATAATATTATATTAATACACGAATAAAATAAAATAAATTTATTAAATTAATTATTGTGCATAAACCATAAATTTATTAAAATAAGACTTTTTTTTAATTTTATCCCAATTTAATATTATTTTTGTTAAAATCGTAATAATTTAATAAAGCGATATTTAACTTAATCATTGTATTTTATTAACACATTAATAAATTAAATTATATAATTATTTAATCAAATATTATAAATCAGCTACTTATTATCTCGTATTATACATATAATGATAGATTTTACATATTCAATAAAAATATGTTAATTGAACAGTTAATAATTAAGAGTTTACAAATTATTTTAATTAATGAGATAAATGATTTATTTATTGTTATTTTTTACTATAATTTTTTTACTTAAAAAGAGAGGATGAATTTTTTTTTTCATAAAAAAAAGGGAGAAAAAGATGAGGGTAAAAAAGATAATGTTGTTTATAGAAATTTAGAAATTAAAAATCATTTAGACAACAATTAAAGTTATAATCTAAGCTATTTTATAACTTTTTTTTTTTAGGAATAATCTATTTGATTGGAATGATCAAATAGTACATTAGATATTTTTATAATGTAACAGCGATATAAATACTATATGATATAAATTTTAATATATGAGGGTTTTGTGGTAGTGGTGTCCATTAGGAGCATAGCACATCAATAAGTGAAACCTATTCTTGTACGATATGCTTTAAATCCTTATGGAAGGACAAGAAATTCATATAATAAAATTATTTTATTAAAATTAATTAATTAATGGAAATAATTTATAATAATAATTATTATTATTATTAATAAATAAATAATGTGACTGGAAATTAAAGACCATTCTGGTTTGTTTGTTTGGATTGAAGCCACAAGTGGGACGAATACGGACCTTCCTTCCATCAACTGTGGCACACACGAGCGGAGGCGCGTGAGTCAAGACACGTGTGACGTGGGTTGGTGTCTCATCACAATTTTCATGGGTGTTAAAGAAAAAAAAAATATTCACGACCTCTTCGTCTTCTTCCCCCAATCTGCGAAGAACACATGAAATTTTCCACTGGATCAACAAGAATTATGCATCAATTTAGCTGAAAAACACAAAAATAATTTCCGATCTGAACCGAGAGTGAATCGATTTTGGTAATTCTTCTTCTTAAGGAAATCAATTGAACCTGATCGTTGTCTATATTTGATCAAGACACTTGCCTTCTTCGTTTTCTTACTGTTTACTGGTTGTGATTTATGACGAGAGATGGAAGGAGGAGGGGTTTCGGAGGCGCAGTAAAATGGCGCGGAAATGGAGTGGAAGTCTAAATCTTGAGTCACTGGGATCTGGAAACCTTGGTTGGTAGTTGGAAACCACTGGTCATCTTCTTCTTTTCTGCATAATCGGTAACAAATGACAATAGTTCAGAGCAAGGATTAGATCTTTGCTTTTTTTTTTTTTTTAACCCGGAGATCGTTGTTCTCCTCTCTGTTCCTTGATCTGTAATTAGTTGCTTCTTGATCCCTATTTGAGGACTATTGAGAGTTCAGTTTTGTGGGTGAGCTTGATAATAATCGCAGTTTCAGCGGAATTTCTAGGGATTTCGGGGGCTTGGTTTATATAGAGAAGTTGTTTTTATTTACTTGTATGCAAACATGCATGCCAGGCACCGGAGTCCGGGAAATGGGTATCGGTCTGGTTCAATGAGCATGGGACTTTCTGCGTCTCGAATATCGCCGGAGAGTTCAGTTAGAGGTCATGGGTTGTATAATTCAGAGTATCGGAGCTTCAATCGTGGTTTTGGGCGCTGCCAGGGCCAGCCCAAATCGTTTCCTCCACCTTCCACTCCTCCTCGGAGAAGTACTGGCGGTGACATTTTCATGGAAGCTGGTCGACTTGCAGCTGAATATTTAGTCTCTCAGGGCTTCTTGGCGCCTAGTGTACTGTCTGGTAAATGGCAGAACGGTAGTTTGAAGAATCAGGCGGGTGAGCTTCAGGAGTTTAGGTCTCACGATAACGAGAATTTGCATCTTCCTCCTCCTGATGTCCGGCCATCAGCTCTTTCCCGGCTCGGTAATTCAGTTTCCGATGCTGGGTTGGGTCGGAGAAGGTATGTCGACGATTATTCATCAACTGGGTCAAGGAGTCATTTGAAAGGAAGAAGACAAGGCGGGTCCTTCCGTTATGGGTCGGATTTTGGTAGAGAATACGGGAGGAGTGGCTCCTGGTCTGAGAGAAATAGAGGTTCTTCTGATGTGGAGGGTGATGATGATACCATTCCCGCACATCACGAAGAACAGCCGGTGGGTAAAGATGTTGGTAGTGGGATTCAGAAGCCGAGCTCTGGTGAGCTTGCTACAAAGGTTGAAGAAGCCGGTGAGTCAGAAACCGAGTTGGATAAAAACAACTTCCAGGATGAAACACGGTCTTCATGTATTGGAAAAGATTCACCCCATGATGGGGAAGTCTCCACAAAGCCTGAAAATTCCCCGGTGGAGCTGAAGAATGAGAATGATGAGAACCAGAAATTGGTTGCTGTGGAGGGGGAGACTCCGCAGCCAGAGGAAGGTGACTCCTCAGGGAAGAAGAACGTCACTGATTTGTTGACATTGTGCAAATTCCCTAACTTGCGTACCAAAACTCGCTCTGCATTAATGGTGAAAGGTTCAAGGTCTGATTCAGTATCAAATAGAGTGGGAACCACTTCTGATGTCAAACCTTTAGTTGAAGAGGACCCTTTAAATAATTCATCACGCGACTTGCTGTCCAATAAAAATCATGACTTGCAACTCCCTGACTGTGACAATTCTAAAGCTTTGTCTGTTCCGGAGTATGGTGGAGTATTAGTTCCTGAAGAAGATGCTGAGCAGGCGAAGTGTCATAGCTATCAATCTTTCCCTAACAGAGTTCTTGTGGATGACAATGAGCAAGAAGAAGACCAGGGGTTGACTGGCCTTATGAGATCAACCTCCATGATTCTGGAGAGAGGTGAGAAACGAGATGCGGAAGAAAATGATTTGAGGGAGGAAGCTAATAGACAGAGTAGCTATCAATCTTTCCCTAATAGAATTCTTGTGGATGACAATGAGCAAGAAGAAGACCAGGGGTTGACTGGCCTTATAAGGTCAACCTCCATGATTCAGGAGAGAGGTGAGAAACGGGCTGCGGAAGAAAATGATTTGAGGGAGGTAGCTAAGAGACAGAGAGAATGGCTTCCCTCGGTGGCTTCCAAGTCTGACGAGTGCTTTAGTATCCCTTCTGTGAATGAGAAAGAAGAGACTCCGGAAGAAGAGAAGCCTTCACAAAGTGAGGAGGTGACAATGGCTGTTGATCATGGCAGCTTGGTAAACAATCATAGGATCCCTGTGGGCGGTGATGAACCATGCATTCAGGATGCCCAAGAGAAGCAGCTTTTTCCTAGTTCCTTTAAGATCTGTGACCTTAATCTTGTGGGAGTAGCTGATTTGAATGAGAACAATCATGGTGATCCTATGCTTGTTTTCCCTCCTATTTCAGAAATTAAAAAGAAAGCTGGTCCGGTTGATGTTGATTTGTCAATGAGTAGTTCCAATAAATCTGGTGAATATGGTGGACATACAAGTAATGGTAAGGAGATAGAAGTAATTGACTTGGAGAGTGATTCTACACAAGAACTTAAGGCTGGTGATATTTTAGATAGGAAGTATGTTTTTCTTACCTAATGTGCTCTTTTCATTACTCCATTGATTTGCTCCTTTGATGTGTATATGATTATGGTATCTTTTGTGCCCCCTTCCCTTTCACTATAAGTACTAAGCATGCTAGATATAACTAGTTCCTCTTCAAATCTTTATGTATACCTGTGCTCCTTCTTTATCTGATCATGGAAACTGTTAATTCTTGCAGGCAACAGTCTGTATTTCTGGGCTTCCCTAATCATACTCAGAATAATGGTGATATTACAGACGTTACTGACTTCAATGATGGGCTTATGATGGTGGAGTTCCTCAATTCTCTTGCAAATCTTCCTCATGTACCACCAGGAATGAATCCAGTGTCAGAAGAGATTAATCATGCTACACAGGATGTTAATTCCCTACAGAATGAAATGTCCCTTCATAATGGAGAGGTACTACCATTAACTACTAAAGCTATTTATTTCTTTGGTGAAATTATAATACTTTCCTCTGGCAGCACCACCTGGTGGCTCTTTAATAAATTTTTAACAATTGATCTTCTGATATATGCAGTGGGTAACTTGATGGACATTTGATAGCAGTCTTTAGATATGCAGTGCGAACAAATGATCTTATAGTGGCTAGATTCATTTTTTTATCAGAAAAAGATAGAAACATAAAACATAAAACATCTCATTTTCTGAATTATAATTTCTTATTTCTTTGGAAAAAAAAATAATTTGTTGCCGTTCCATGATGTTTTCAGGGGACGCTTGGTGATCAAGGGCCTCTTGGTGATGATGATTCAATATATATGTCCTTGGGAGAAATACCATTAAGTATGCGATTCTTTTGTGCTTTTCTTATTAACGTATTTGGAGTTTTGGGGTTGATCTACGGAAAATTGTATTAAGTAGATAATGATGGTTATCAAACATCAAATTACATTTTGGACCCATTTGACTTGTTTTCCAGTCAATATCCTCCCTTATTCTTATGCTTTTACTAGCTTAGTCTTCAACTTTAGAATTTTGTCGTCATTTTCTTGTTTGAACAATTCCCGAAGAATTCAAAGTGAGAGTAGAGGTAGATCAAACATGAAAATTATGACAAAGTTCTACTGGTCCAGATTAATTTAGTAATTAAGTGTAGAAATAAGGTAGTAATTACTGGAAATTGAACCAACTGGGCCATCATTATTTTTTATTAACTTTATTGTGTATGCTAATTGTAACGTCAAACTTGGAAGTACAGTGCTTACATGATTCAGTATGTAAGCTTCAGTTCTGATATCTTTATTTTCGCACTCCTAAGAATCTTTCATGACTTCCTTGTAGGCTATTTGCGGGGCTGGGAGCAGCCACCACCACAGGAATATGAAAAACCGTTCTGATTCAGCAGGTGCTGGGAATCTACAAGGATGTGCTACTTGATGGTTAGTATTGGTCACCAGAGCTTGTTGCAACATTTACCTCTGCCTGTAGGCAACTATGCTTAAGTTTAATTTGATTTTGTTTATAAGAATGCAAGTGTTTCTTCCATTGATAAGAGCTATATGGTGAATGCTTTATCTTTTTCGGCTGTTATACCTCATTTCTCAAATGGTAAAATTGTTCTCTATATTGGTCTTTCTGTTCTTTATTTTCTTCTTTCTCTTGTTGTTTCTGTTATTCCCATGGCCTGAGAGATCAACAAGTGACATTGAATGATGGTAAAACTTAGGTAAGATGATGCATAATAGCAGTTTTGTTTGCTTGGGAGCTTTTCATGTAACAGGTGATAAATGCAGTCCATGTGAATTTAAACTATTCCAAGCTTTTGCCTACTCTACACGTTATCAAGGACTATTGAATGATTGCTTGTGGTGAGAACTGAGAATTGAATACAAATAAATACCTTCTGTTTACTCTTCTCTGCAGTCTCTTGTAACTTGGTTTTCAAATGAAATTATCGTGACTTGTAGTTCAATTACCAGTAGATTTATAAAATGCACATGACAACTAACAAAATCCAGCGATAACCAGTAGCAAGTGACAGTGACTTGGCTCCTCATGAACTTACCTTAGAATCCACCTACTCTTCTGTGGAGCACCGAGTTACTTTAGAATTGAACTTAGACTGTACCCTCTCCGAATACTTGACAGTCCGGAGACGTGATTGATATCATGGAATCTTTTCTGCTGTAGGTTCCGCACCATTGAATTGGCTTAAATAGGTTAATAAATTAAGGCTCAATATTCAATATTGGATCATATATTGCTGTATTGCTTCTTGGAAACATGAGTTCATTTTATTTTCATTGGGTAAGCTGAAAATGAGGAGAGGTGGAAGAGTCATTGCCTTTTCTTCTGCTTGGCTGAGCATGATCTTTTATCTAGAACCGAATGAGTTAGTTGGTCCAAAAGCTTTGTAGAAATTCCCGTTGAAGATACCTCAGCAGGATATCGAAAGATCCTTTGCAAAATCAAACCAGGAAGACTAAAAACAACTTCTATGATTTCCACAATGAATTCCTTGTGCTTAGGTGAATAACTGATTTGGCTTTCATTCTTGTGCTTAGACATGCCTAACTTTGATAGACATTGTGGAAAGGTGTTGCATATGGAAGGGCTAGTGAAGTATCTTAGGTGAATGAAAGGAATCAATGAACTTTCTTGAACTACTTCAAAAATGCAATGTCAATTTAGGCAAACCATTGACATCTCTAGTATAACACAATGTTGGGTGATTTCCTTTTGACGGGATGTTATGACAATGTAAGCTCATTGTTCTCCCATTTTCCCACTTCTGTTGTGTATCACTATAAGGGTATGGATGATGTGTTTTTGGTCGAAGGACATAAAGTTCCCATCTTCACCGTGTGCAGAAGAAGATACTAAATAGGAAGGGAACAGGTATATGTAATGCTTTTTGCCACCAATCAACGGTGAAGATGAAGAGATACTAGCACCTTATTAAGATTCAATTCAATGGGTTGAGAGGAAGAGATACTGCCACTTACTAGTTAATTTGCTATTTGGGTGTACATTTTCTGTCTTTAAATTGGGAGGATGGAAGGAAAAAGCCAATCAGATCAGGTACGAAGTATGTCTTGTCTCAAAGAACTTGCCATACCTGTTACCCTTCAGCTTCCTTTGAAGAGATGTAAGTGCAAAACTTCGATTTCCAAGGTTTCTTCAGCCATGATTTCTTCCTCTTCTTCTTCTAAGTGACCCCATTTGAGGAGGCACTCAATTCTTAAGATACTAGGAGACTATTTTGTCGAGTTTCAAGCACTTGGTGTGATTACAAATACACGGATTGCTTGATGTTAGTTTGGTTAAAGCTTGTATTCAAGTTTGTTCAAAATCAAACTCGAGTCTAAAGAAATATTTTCATAGCTAAAAGAGATAAGTTAGATTTTAGAGGTATTTGGTTTGGAAGTATACAAACGCATTCTTAATGTTTATATATATATGTATATATGTATATAGTTTAGTTTGAATTAAACACTATTCTTACAACCAAAAAAAAAAATTAATACGTTATTTTCTAAAAACTGTCAACTCAACTCAATTATAATTAAACCAAAACCTTAAAATTTCTTGCATCATTTTATGCGAAGAAATATTTAAAGTACGTTTCCGTGCATTTGCCATTCTTGAGTCAAACTTTCTTTTTTTACTGTTTACAGTACGTATATATGTTTATTTTTTACCACTCTTGCGGTGGTTAAAAACAAAGAGATAAAAGTTAAAAAAAGAGGGGTAAAAAAAAAAAAAAAAAAAAGAGAAAGAGCAACGTATCTAAGTTGTGTTATGTAACATCGTCGAAGTGGGCCCCCGCCCACCACAGGCATTAAACCGACGCATCCTTTTCGGGCCCCACCACCTTGGCTCCCCTCTCTCCCCCCACACCCCACATCGGTAACTTTTTTTTTTTTATTTTTTGATATGATTATTATGTTTATATAATTAATTATTATAAGTTACAAAATTATAATCGGTTAATTATATAAAATTATGCATTAATTACCGAAAGTAATATTATAAACTAAATGTAGAGACGGTAGAAAATAAATAACATATAATTTATATTTTTAGCAAAGTGGATGGCACGTCACACAATAAATCATACGTAGAATTTGTTGTTATACAAATAATTTTATATTTTTGTATTCAATGTATGTTAAAATAATAATTTAATCATAGTGAATAATTTAATAAGAATTAGTTTGAAAAATTAAGTTAATATGTTGAATTTTGAGAAATACAATTCAATTCAACATTTCGATTTAGGAAAGAGAAGAAAATAACTCACTTCATTAGTGATTACTTAGTGTTCATAGCAAACAATCAAACAAACAATCTAAACAAACATATATTCTTATATTGTAACACACAAATTTTTTTTTTTATTATTATTAGAAATATTTTGATTTTATTTTATCTTAATAATTAATTTATTAGGTAATAATTATATGGTTTTAATTTAATTTAATAGAAATAAAAATAATAATAATGATAAAAAGGGGTAAAATTATTTTTTGGATTTAATTGAAAATAATTTTGAGAAAAAATAGTGAAAATTTAGATTCTCGAGAGCTCTGCCGCCGGTAAGTCTCGATTTTCTAGATTTTTTTGGCCCACCGAGGGCACTAGGGGTATTTTATCACAGGAACCAATGCAAGTTTGGCAAAAAACGGTCGGAAACGACCAACCCGATGTGGATTACCGCCGCTTGCGGCGGCACCGTCGTCGGAGCACGGCGGCGCTGTCGTCGGAGCACGGCGGAGTCGCCGTGCCGGAATTCCAAAATTGGCCGAATAGGCCCTGGTCTGATTTGGAATTTTTGGGGACATGTGCAGGTACCAAAAGTGTGTTTCAGTTTCTGAAAAAAAATTCAAAGAATCTAAGGACTACCCGTAGGCGTAGTGAGAACTTGATTTCAGACTCCAAAATAAATAAGGATTCCATCACCCTATTTTCTATCACGGCATTAAAGCTTAATAAATTATAAAACAATATTTTATGAATTAATAGATATGTATAATTAATCAAGATTGCTAATGAAGCCCGAACATGATGTATTTGTCAGTCTGTTCTTATTTGATGTATTTTACAGTCTAAATACAGTATAATATTTGATTGTTTATTTTATGGTTTCGTATGCATGAATCACTATTTAATCTATTATGGTTTAAATTATTGTGAACCCGATGTTGTGTTGCCTTGTTTGGTGTGCGTTACTGGTTTACGTATTCATGTTGATTGAGTAATTGAAACCAAGAAAAATAAAAAGGGTATGTGAATTTATAAATGGATAAGTCGACAGCCTCACTAGATATCCTGGGAGATGGTGGATGGACCGAATCCATAAGAAACCCCACCGGGAATGTGGTCTCTCATATCGGACGGGGTATGGAGACTTTAAATATTTTGGCGCTCATACCGGATGAGGTATGGAGACGGTCCGCTTCACCCTCATACCGGACGGGGTATTGAGGTTTATGGTTTTGGCGCTCATACAGAACGGGGTATGGGGACGACCCTGGAATTAAGGTGAATGGTTCACGTATAGCGGGGACCCCTATGGATCCCTATGGATACTAGTAGGCTGATAAAAAAAGAAATTTGTTGCCTGATGATTGAAATACAAAAGTATGATATGTGTTATGTTATAGAGTGTGTATAATCTTATGATGTTTATAATGTTATTATTTTCATAAGTTGTTTTCATGAATCTCACCGAGGTAAGTGGACAGTAAATAGTTCTATTATTGATAAATGAATTTGTTATAAATTATGCTCCATTAGTCATTTTTATTTTTTACCAACTTTTATTTCTGTGACAGTGAGATAGTGTGACATCTTTACTGGGATAGTGTAACTCATTCCTTACTTAACCATTTCAGATCAGAAGGACTTGGTTCCCGAGCCCGTTCTGCAGGAAGACAGCGAGTAGAAGTATAAAGATTTATTAGTTTTTCTTATAGTATTCATTCATAGTATTTTTTTTAATTAATTTATTCTTTCATATCTTTAATACATTTTGATTATTGTGTAAGGGATGTTAATCATAATATATTTTATTTCACTTCCTCACTTAGAATAAATATATATATTTTCTTTTAATTTCCGGAGTCGTTACATATATGATTCACGACCATTAAATATAAAATATAATATATATATATATAAGCATGATAATAGTATTTTATTATGAGCAATTATTAAAAAATGAAGGCTAAATTAAAACGATTGCAACAAATTGTCAGTAATTTTTGTTTGCAATTGTTATT